ATTACCCCAGTGTCAGCAGAGTTGTGTGAAGTCCATATGTGTTTGGTTAGTAGGAGGCTTACTGCCTCCAGAAGGGTCATGGTCCTTCGGCTCTCCTCTGCTCACACAATGCTCATGCCCAGCGATGGGCACTCTTGAGAACTGAGAGGAAGCTGAGGGTAAACCTGGCAATTTGGGTTTGGGGGAAGTTTTAGAAGGAGGAAATAAGAGATGTTAGTTAAAGACTGTACGGTTTAGACTAGAATCTTCCCCACTCCCTCGACATCCAAGCACCAAATATTGTTGGTTTTTCCATCATGATGCTTCTCTCCCTTCCACACATTCTTTCCATTTTCATCTCTCTTAGGATCACACACTGGCACTCCTGCCATGGACTTGCTGATTGATTTTTGTGCCACCTTCTCCCTCTAGTCTATTCTGCACAAAACTACCAGATTAGTCCTAGTTAAGCCCCACTTAGCATATGCCAGTCTCACTGCTGCAGATTTCAGTGATTCAATTATGTCTCTATACAAAGGACCATGTTCTTCACCTGGCCCCCACAGTTATGCCAGTATGTGCTTCACAAGCTCACTACCCATCACTTCCTTTCTAAGTCTGCCTGGTCATTTTGAAGTCTTTTGTTCCTTATTCATACTTTTAATAGCGCTTTTTATTTCTTCAAATATAATCCAACATAGTCATTGTATATTCTGTGTGTGATCATTCTAATGTTTGATGTCTTCACTGGTCTGGTTCTACTGTTTGCTGTTTTGCAGACTCTCATTCATGGTACCTTGTTTGCTCACATGTTTTCTGATTTTAAAAAATTGAAGCATTATCAATAATAACCAAACTATGGAAAGAGCTCAAATGTCCAATGATTACTGAACAGATATAGAAGATGTCACACACACACATGCTGGAATATCACTCAGCCATCAAAAAGACTGAAGTCTTGCCATTTGCAATGATGTGGATTGAGTGAGAGTATATTACACTATGTGAAATACGGAAGTCAGAGAAAGACAAATACCATATGTTTTCACCCATGTGTGGAATTTAAGAAACAAAACAAATGAACATATGGGAAGGGAAGCGAGAGAGAGACGATGAAAGAGGAAAACAAACATAAGAGATTCAACAATAGAGAACAAACAGCATTGATAAAGGGAGATATGTGGGGAATGGGCTAGATGGGTGATGGGCATTAAAATGAGTACTTTTTATGATGAACACTGGCTATTATATGTAAGGGATGAATCACTAAATTCTATTCCTGAAACCAATACTGCACTCTGTGTTAACTAACTGGAATTAATATAAACTTTTGAAAAGAAATTGATTCACATTCTCTATAATTTTATCTAAAAAATTATTTGAGGACTGAATTTAAGGTACATTCCTACAGAGAAGATTTTAGTTTGCATCTGCCATCTATTTGGGGAACTATCAACCCTGGTTCACTATGAACTAAATTCTTGGCTTCGTTTAATTGTCAGCAAGTTATGAGGGCCTGCCTGGCTCAGTCAGTAGATCATGTAACTCTAGGTCTCAGGACTGTGAGTTTAAAGCCCACATTGAGCATGGAGTCTACTTTAAAACAACAACAACAACAACAACAACAACAACAACAAACCTGCAGAATGTGAGGAATACAGAGAACTTCCATGATTTGGTAAAAAGTATCTACAAAAAAGCAACAAATAACATCATATTCTATAGTTAAGTTCATAACATTTTCTCTCTAAGATCACAAGCAAGGCAAAGATGACAATTCATACCCATATTATTCAACATAGTACCATAACTTCTAGTCACTGCAATAAGACAAGACAATGAAATAAAAGATGTATAGAATGAAAAGGAAGAAATAAATGATTCCTATTTGCAGGTGATATAATTGGCTCTATATCCCAAGGAATCTATAAAAAAAAACCTCCTAAAACGTGTAAGTGAGTTCAGCAAAGTTGTAAAATGAAAGAATAATATATAAATATCAATTATATTTCTATCTTAACAATGAACCTATGAAAAGTGATATTATGCAGTATCAATTATAATCACTGCAAATAAAGCAAAATACTTGGATATATGCTTCATAAAGTATGTACAGAATTTGTATGTTGGAAATTACAAAATGCTAATGAAAGAAATCAAAACAAACCTAAATAAATGGAGATACACACTATATTCATGAATTGCTCACAATAGAAAAATAAGTAAAGATGTCATTTCTCCTTGAATTAATCTATAGGTTTAATGAAATACTTTAAAAATCTCCATGAGACTTCTTGTAGACACAGACAAGTTTGTCATAAAAATTATATGGAAAGTCACAAGCCCTAGAATAACTAAAACAATCTTGACAAAGAAGAATAAAGTGGATGGATTAACTCTATTTGTGGCTTACCATAGTAGTTACAGTAAGACTATGTGATATGGGCAGAGGCACAAACACAGAGATGAATGGAACAGAATACAGAACTAGACCCACATAAACATGCTCAACTGATTTTTGTCAAAGGTACAGAAACAATTCAATGGAGGGAGTATAGTTTTTGCAACAAATGGTGCTGAAGCCCTTGGGTGTAGACATAAACCTTATAACTGATGTAAAACCAACCCAAAATGGATCAGGGAATTAAATGATAAATGTAAAACAATAAAACTTTGGGGAAAATATAGAAAAACTTTAGGATCTAGAGGTAAACGTAGAACTCTTACACTTGATTGTAAAAGCACAGTACACTAAAGGACAATTTGATCATGTGGACATTATCAAAATCAAAACCTTTTTTTTTCTGTGAAAGGCCTTATAAAGACCATGAAAAGACAAGTTATAGACCGGGCGAAAATATTTGCAAATCACATATGTGACAAAGGACAAGTACCTAGAGTATATAGAAGTTTCAAAAGTCAACAATAAAATAAATGAATGAATAAATAAACAAATAAATCCAATTAGAAAATAAGCAAAAGATACAAATAGATATTTTGCCCAAAAAGGATATACAGGTAGCACATGAAATAAGCACATGAAAAGATGCTCAACATCAGTAGCCATCAACGAAATGCAAACATTTTAAATACAACGAAATATTATTATATACCTATAAGATTGGCTAAAATAAAAAATAGAACACCAAATCCTGGTAAGGATGTGGAGAAACTGAATCACCTATACATTTCTGATAGGAATGTAAGCTTTTATAGCTGCTCTAGAAAAAAAATGGTATTTTCTTACAAAATTGAACATGCCATCACTATATGACCCAACAATTGCACGCTTTGGCATTTATCACAGAGAAATGAAAATTTATATTTACACAAAACTTGTACATAAATGTCGTTAGCAGCTGTATTTGTAATAGCCAGTGTGTGGGTGGTTAAACAAACTTTGCTACATCTGTATCATGAAAAACTACTCAGCAGCAGGAACAAACTATTGATACATGCAACATGCAACAAGTTGGATGAATGTGCAGGGAATTACACTGAGTGAAAAAAAAACAAAACAAAAAACCAATCCACAATGGTCAAGGGGGGTGGAGAGGGCATAGGGCACATGGGTGTGCTATGAAAGGGCAACAAAAGAGATCCTTTCGGTGGTAGAACTGTTCTGTATCTTGACTGTATCAACATCAATATCTTGGTTGTGATACTGTACATAGTTTCTAAAGATGTTACTATTGAGTAAAACTGGGTAAACACTATACAGATCTCCTTGTATTATTTCTTATAAGTTTATGCAATCTACAATTACCTCAAAATTTAAAGCTTAATTAAATTAAAAAATATTTGTGCACACACATGGTAATAGGAGACAGAAATGTACACAGAACAAGGAATATAATTCTTCCAGTGTTAGGCAGGGAATTAGGAAAGTTTTCATGGATAATATGGCCTTTGGCCTGATTCTTGCAAGGTGAGTGGATGTTCTCCAGATGGACAAAGAAAGAAAGAAAGAGCATTGAATCAGAGGAAGTATTCCTCCCAGATGGGTAGACAAATTTTTCTACTGTGGGTAAAAAAGTTCAGGATGTATTAACCTTTTATTTATTTTTTAAGTTTATTTATGTATTTTGAAAGAGAGAGAGGCAGAGAAAGGAGAGATAGAATCCTAAGCAGGCTCTGCACTGTCAGCACAGAGCCGAATGCAGGGCTCAAACTCACAAGTTGTAAGATCATGATCTGAGCTGAAGTCAAGAGTAAGATGCTTAACCAATTGAACCACCCAGTTACCTTTGTATTATTTTTTAAATTGGTATTTCCAGGAGTGTATAAAAAACTCCAAAAGAAGTCATCAAAGAACAGAAGTAATCGGGGCAATTTAGCTTAAATGAAACTGTGTCTCTTCCAATCCGTTTTAGTAAAATAAATTGACTTGCTGATAAAGAATTAGAAATTTGGATGTAACTTCTGAGTTATGATCAATGTAATTACTGTGTTGATGAGTCTTTTTTTTTTTCTTAAATAGTTTATTGTCAAGTCGGTTTCCATATAACACCCAGTGCTCATCCCAACAAGTGCCCTCCTCCATGCCCATCACCCCCTTCCCCTCTTTGAAGCCCTACCCCCATCAGCTTTCAGTTTGTTCTCAGCATGATGAATCATTTTTTAAAGTTTATTTATTTTAAGAGAGAGAGAGAAAGACAGAGAGAATGCATGCAGGAGCTTGCACAAGAAGGGGAGGAACAGAGAAAAAGGGAGAGAGAGAGAAATCCCAAGCATGCTCCACACTATCAGAACAGAGCCCAATGCAGGGCTCCAACTCACAAACCGTGAGATCATGACCTGAACCAAAACCAAGAGTTGGGTGCTTAACCGACTGAGCCACTCAGGCACCCTGAAATCATTTTTCCTCAAATATAATTAGGAGAAATAAATGGGTCAATGCTTTCATCTGAGACTTTGTGACACAAGAGATTTAATAGTGCATTTATTATAGGATTATTTTATTTATTTTTAGCAAAGTGGCAATGCCTTTGAGGGAGTCTTACCCCCCTGTTCTGTCTGAATTCTTCATAGGTAGGCCTGAGATTCCAAAACACATCATCATTTTGAAACGCAGGTTAATACAAGATGGGATTAAGATAAGCAAATTACCTTAATATCCACTTTGGAATGCAAGTCTTCCAAACAGTGGAATATTTCTGTGATTACTGTGATCTCATCATCTCATGAATTAATTGGCCTAGAGAAGAGCCTCTCTGACCACCACATATCTGGATATAGATTTTAAACCACAAAATCTGATGACACTCCAAAACTAGCTCATGAGACTCCTCTGAGCATATCTGATTATCTATGAATAAAGGGAATATTTGCATTGTTAGGTGTAAAATCTGCAAGTTATTTCATCAGCTCTTAATACATCCATCAGCAACAGCAATGCCAGCAATCCGAAGCTGTCAAGGATGCAGACCTCAGCAGGCTGCCAACTGCAGTACTTTACCCAGGGCTGGAGCATCTTTTAAAATGTTATTCAGTTATTTTCTGGCTTTAGGTCATCTAGAATGCTTCATTTATTTTCAGACCTCAGATTGAAACTAACTTGTTGAGTTTTATCAGGGCCGACTGGCCCTAGGAAAATGGAGAGAGGAAGACACAAGCCTTGTGTTTGGCTTCCATCTCCTCTTCCAACAGCTAATTTTTTTCCCTTTGTCTTTCTTTAAACTCCCCACGTTCCTGGGCCACCCCTCCCAATCCACCTGCCTTCTCCTAGAGATCTGCTGGAAATGTGGATTTGGAGTGTCACCAGCCTGACTAAGGCAGACCGTCTGCAATGCAATTGAATTGTAGATGACCTTTTGTTTTATTTTTATTTTTTATGTATTTATTTACTTCAAGTAGGCTTCATCCTCATGGCAAAGCCCAATGTAGGGCCTAAACTCTGAACTCAGGACCCTGAGAATAAGTCCTGAGCTGAGATCAAGAGTCAGGATACTTAACTGCTTGAGCCATCTAGGTCCCCCAGTGAGCTTTTGTTTTAAACCAACTTTGAGAAAAGGCACAAAGCAACATGTGTGGGGGCCTGGAGAGATCATTAATTTGGTGACTATATGATGACCCAATGTGACTGATTCCCAATTGTCAAACAGCATAGTGATGGTCTTCCAACACACAAGAGATCTTTAAGAGGCATCTTCCCTGCTCCAGAGGCTCTGCTAAGTACTGGGGATAAGAAGAAGATGTAATCCATGCCCTCAGGTAGTTCAAGTTCTATGAAGAACACAGGGACTAACGGAAACAATTAGAACACACAATTAGTTGCTCCACCTTTGAGTTTCCATTGCACTAGGCACAAACGTCTGTTGGCACTTACCTCACACCATGGTTTCTCCAGCTTCTAACAGTGTCAGGCACATAGCAGCCTCTCAAAAATACCTGATGAAATAATGAATGAATAAACAAATGAACAAGCTACACATTATTAAAGTTACCAATATAGAATGTGGTAGAAGGAATTAACTCTGGCTGGAGGTAAAAGGAAGTTTTATAAGACACGGTGATTTGAATTGAGACTTAAAGCACATCTAACACAGTGTCTGACCTTGAATGAGCTCATAAGCAAAGATAATTTGATTAAGTGGAAGTTCAAGTGGAGAAGAGGCATTTGGAGGCAAGGGTGTTTCAGGAAGAAGTAGCTTAGGACCTGGCACATGGTAGGAACACAAGAAGTATTTATTGAATGAATGCATGACTGAATGAATGAATTGATGGATGTAACAAATAGCATAGACAAAGTCACCAGTATTGTAAAAAAAGCCAGAGTATTTAGGGAATGGTATATTTGGAAAATTATGTAATCATAGAAGAGAGGAAGAAGACAGATGGTTAGAACAAAAAGAATGGAGGATACAAGAAAAGTGTAGTGCAAAGAACAGAGCTGCTTGAAAAGAGAGGAAGTGGACAGGGAGAAAAGTAACATTTTAAATAAGAGCCTAAGAATAGTTCAGGGACTACAGAAATAGAGGGCGGGTTGTTGTGAGAAATGAACTTAAGGATCATATATCACCAGAGTCAAAAAGACCTTTCAGGCAACAGGACTCTAAGTAGGAATATAAGTACATAATTAACTAAGAAAAGATGAAACCTAACAATCATGGTCCAGAAAGAAGTGACCTATAGGAGAATAAGAATAAGAAGAGTCAGGAGAAAATTGATTGTCTCTAAGTGGAGGCAAACCTGAGTGACCTTTCTTAGACTGTGTATTAGTTATCTGCTGCTGCATAACAAATTACCTCAAAAGTGAGTGACTTTAAACAACAATAAACATTTATTACCTCACACAATTTCTGCACATCAAGAACTCAGAATCAGTTTCTTTGGTGGTTCTGGCCCAAGGCCTCTCATGAGGTTGCAGTGAAAGTGTTGGCTGGGGCTGAGGTCACCTGAAGGCTCTACTGATGCGGAAGAGGAATCTGCCATGTGCTTGTGGGAGTCCTCAAGTTGCACCCTACAGGCAAGTCTCCACAAAGCTACCGATGTCCTTAGGACATGCAGCTGGCTTCTCTCCAAGCAAGTTTCCCATGAGAGGACAAGTGGAAGCTGTAATATCTTTGATGACCGAGTTTTGGAATTCAAACTCCCATTATTTCTGTAATATCCTATCCTTACACAGATCAGCTCTATTCAAAGTAGGGCCTCCACAAGGGTGAATAGCAGGTGGCAAGAATTATCAAGGGACTCTCTAAGAGACTTTCTTGGAGGCTGGTTATCACAAATTACACTCAATACCTAAACCTGATGTTATTCTCTAGATTTCTTAGACAGGTAGGTCCAACGGCAGGTGACAAAAGTAACCTTCTACAGTTCTGAGCTTATGACATCTTTCTCATGGCTGGTAACCCTTTAAAAGGAAACACTGGTTCCTAATCATTTTAGCCAGGCTTTCAAATATGGAGTTCATTGAGGGGCGCCTGGGTGGCTCAGTTGGTTAAGCTCCGACTTCGGATCAGGTCAGGATCTCACAGTTTGTGGGTTCCAGCCCTGCGTCGGACTCTGTGCTAATAGCTACCTCAGAGCCTAGAGCCTGTTTCAGATTCTGTGTCTCCCTCTCTCTCTGACCCTCCCCTGCTCACGCTGCCTCTCTCTCTCTCAGAAATAGTTTTTTTAAAAAACATTAAAAAAAAAACAAATATAGAGCTCATTGGCCTGGCTTGGATCCAATAAACAACTATGAACCAAATCATCATGATGGGGTGGAGGTGGGAACGTGTCCACACAGGAAGTTCCATCTGTACTGCGTGGATTGAGCATGAGGGATCCACCAGCAGTGCGGCAGGAGCAATTAACTCTGATTGGTTCTGGTTCTGGCCTGGTTCCCTAAAAAAGAAAAGATGCAGAGCAAATAATGAAAAAGGTAGCAGGTGCTCTTTATAACTTCAGTGTTAAAAAAAGACTCACTCTGCTAGGTATAAGGTCTTCATTGGCTCGCATAACATCACACATGTATCTCCTTGTCTCTTTTTCATCATCATATTTTTACCATGTAAGTATATTGCAAATATAGGTCTATCATCTGACAAAGGATGTGCAAGACTTATACACTGAAAACTATGAATCACGGTTAATAGAAATAAAGAAAAACTTTTAGGGGCTCCTGGGTGACTCAGTCAGTTAAGTGTCCAACTTTGGCTCAGGTCATGATCTCAAGGTTCATGGGTTCGAGCCCTGAATCGGGTTCTGTGCTGGCAGCTCAGAGCGTGGAGCCTGTTTCAGATTCTGCGTCTCCCTCTCTCTCTGTCTCTACCCTTCCTCCACTCATGCTCTATCTCTCTCTGTCTCAAAAATAAATTTTAAAAAAACTGTAAAAAAGGTTTATTCAAAAAACAAAAACTTTTAAAAATACAGAGATATACTGTGTTCATCGATTGGAAGACAGAAGATTACTAAGGTGACAGTTAATCCCAAATTGATCTGTAGAGTCAATACAATTCAAATCAAAATTCCAGAACACACTTTTTTTTGTTGTTCAGATCGATAAGGGGATTATAAAATTTATATGGAAATGTTTTGGAATAGCCAAAACAACAGTAAAAAAGAACAAAGTAGAGAACTTACATTACCTCACTTCATAAAGCTATAGTAATTTACACAATGTCTTAGTAACATTAAGATAGACAAATAGATTAATGGAAGAAAATAGAGTCCAGACATATATATATAATGAGATGATTTTCAACAAAATTACAAAAGTGATTCCATGGATAAGGATTGTTTGTCAATAAATGGTGCTATAACAGTTGGCTATGAATATGTTAAAAAAGGAAATTCAATCCATATCTCACACAATATATAAAAATAAACTCAAAATGGATCACAGATTGAAATGTAAATCCTAAAACTATAAACCTTCTAGAAGAAAATCTTTGAAACATTGGGTTGATCAAAGCTTTTATAAAACAGCAAAAGAATAGTACATTTTTAATTTAATTTATTTACTTTTACATTTTCAAATTAATTTTTATTAGTTCCTATAAAAAAAAAAATAGAGAGCACAAGAAGGGGAGGGGCAGAGGGAGACGGAGACACAGAATCCAAAGTAGGATCCAGGCTCTGAGCTGTCAGCACAGAGACCAACGCAGGGCTCGAACTCACAAACCATGGGATCATGATCTGAGCTGAAGTCAGACATTCAACCAACTGAACCACCCAGGTGCCCCACATAATGGATTTTTTAAAAATGATGCTAGACTTCATCAGATTAGATCTTCTACTCTACTCAAAAGACAGTGTTAAGAGAGTGAAAAGACATGCCACAAAATGGGACAAAGCATTTGTAAATTATGAATCTGATAAAAGATTTGTACCCAAAATACGAAAAAAAATCTCTCAAAACTAATAAGAAAACAATCCATTCTTCAAAAGTCACCAAAACTTTGACTAAACTAATAAACTAATTTGAACAAACTAATAAAAATATTCAGATGGCAAATAAGCCCATGAAAAGATGCTTAACATGTTCGTCATTAGGGAAATGCAAATTAAAATCACGAGAAGATACTAATACATACTTAATTAGAATGACTAAAATTAAAAAGACTGACTATACCAAGTGTTGGCAAGGAGCGGCTGAAACTCTCCTACCTTCCTGGTGGGAATATAAAATGCACTGTCCCTTTGGCAGTTTCTCAAAGAGTTACGCAGATGCCTACTGCAAGACCCAGTCATTTGATTTCTAGGGATTACGATCTAAATTTCTTGGAATTTATCCAGAGGACATAAAAGCATAAAAGGAGCTGTACATGAATATGCATAGAGTCTTTATTTGTAACAGTCCCAAACTGGAAAAAAATGGAAATGTAAATCAATAGATGAGTGAATTACAAAATTATGATATTATGTCATGGAATATTATATATATATATGCCATAGAATATTATTCAGGGATAAAAAAGGCATGAACTATTGATATAGTACAACATAGATGAAGCTCAAAATAATTATGTTGAGTGTACACTCTCTATGATTCCACTTTTATAAAATTCTAGGAAATTCAAACTAATCTATAGTGTCAAAAAATACCATTTGTTACTTGGGGATGGGGGAGAGGCATAGAGAGGATCAGTAGGGAGGAATGACCAAAGGGCAGAATGACTCTTTTGGGGTGATGGATATGTTCATTGTTTTGACTGTAGTAATGGTTTATATGTGTGATTTCTTTTAAGTCAGTTATAACTCAATTAAACTGCAAAAAAATTTTAGATCTTAATTTACCTCCCATTCCCCACCCTCCCACCCCCCGCTCTGCTTTGACAACCACTAATCTGTTCTCTGTATCTGTGAGGTTGTTTCTTTTTCTTGGGTTGGTTTTTTTTTTTTTTTTACACTGATTCCTTTGTTCATTGTTTATTTAATTTACATTTTTTCAAACATGTACTATGTTGCACTATACTAGGAAACTACAAAGATAGCTGTTAGGGGAAGAAGATAGTGGTAGAAACCATCAGAGTTCAGAGCGAAAGTATTGTAGAGTTTGGAAAAAGGAGTGATTAACGCTTTCAAGGAAGAAATACCTGAGGAGAGTTAGAAAGACAGTCTTGCGCTGATTCTTGAAGAATGATTATGAAGCTTTTTAATGTTCTAATCTTTTATCATCTATTAAATTATAAGCAATTCAAGACAAGCACCGTGCTTTAACTTCTCAGCTCCCCCTATGCCTGCCAGCTTTGCATGGAGTGAGTAATGAATATATGTTTGTGGACAAATCAATAAATTCATATAGATGGACAGAGGCCCAGACTTCTCAAGTTAGAATTTCTATTTATACTGAGCAATTTCCACAGTTGTCATTAAGCTTTGCAAATTTGTGTTCTTTGACCCACACTGAGGTAATCAAATTTTTTGAGAACATGATGGTGATGTTGCCAAAATAAAAATGGGAGCATCTTAGACAATGTGGAGATAGCAGCTGCCCTTCTGTTATATTAAAAGGTTAATCTTGTTTCCTTTAAACATTTTCAATTTGGGGGCATAAAATGTTCATTAAAATGTGAATGGAGTCATATGCCACTAAGGTGTGAAATATTTCAGGTTCACCTTTCAAAATCAAAGTCCACAGTGACCGTGTGGGGAAGGTCATTACTGTTAAAAAAATAACTTATGGGTGTTTGCCTGCTGTATTCCAGCAGCCACACCTCAAGTGGGAGCGCCATGAGTCTACTAATTACATGCTTGTGATAGCATCAAGTACCAAGTCAATGAAAGAAAAAAGTGTTAGCAAACCTGTTAACAAATCTGTTAAGACACAAATCATAAATTCTGCTTTCTTGTGTGGGTGACTGCCTCACATACCTACTTGTTATTTTTACCTCTGGGTGTTTCCTGAATCAATAGAAAGAGAAAGAAATATAGGGATTGAGAGTATTGCATTTTAAATGGTAACACCACACCCCTAAGTGGCCCCAGGTTGGTGAGTAGGAAAGAAGTTTCTGGCCTGTGGAATAAAAACCAGGTTGATACTGGTTATATAACTCTATTTTAACAAAGAGAGACAGTAAATCATATATAACCTATTAACAATGGTTCGCCCCAGACCAAGTGGGTTCTGGGAAGCTAAAACAATGCAAATGACATCTGAAATTTGGAACTGGCATAAAGTGTTTCATTTCATTTAATTCTTTTAGAATCGAAACCAATTTTGTTTACAAATTGAAGCAGACAAATTCCTTCCCCTGATTTTTAAGAACTTACTGGATTTCAATTTTAAGTAACCAATTCTATCTGGCTCCTAGCTACTTGAACCTGTTAAAAGTAAGATTTTTTTCCTTGCTACTGTCAATGTATGCAAATATATTAAGTACAAAATAATTCTCCAGGCTCATTCTGCACACACATATTTTTGAATTCTCACAAGAGAGATGCCAAAAGTACCATAAACAAAATTGGCATGCTGTCAAAAAGTGGTTATTAGGAAGGACAAGTGTATTTGTCAGACGGAGACACTGCGAATGTAATTGGGAAAGGTGATTACAAGGTGTTTCCAAGCATTTGTGCCTGGTCATTGAGAAGAGATTCATTCTCAGGCCCTCCGACTCTGGCAGCACCACTTCTTGCCCTGGTGATGTTATAGCCTGATCTTGAAGTGGTGTTGCCCAATGGGTGGAGCACATGACTTCCAGAGTAGATCTCCACATCCCATGTTGAGTTTCCACAATCACGTTCAAAGCTACAGAGTGCATCTTGTTGACATAGGATGTGGGCATATTTATGTAGGGCTCCATTAGACCCACAGCTTGCCAGCCTGGCTAATTGCCCAGGCATTTCCTCTCTGAAAATTTCCAGAGGAAGTGGGTGGGGTTGGGCACAGTGGGATATAGGTATGGAGAGATTCATGTGGCTCCAGGTGTGAGGAAAGGGATGCCAGAAAACGTTATCAAGCCTTGAAATTTTGGAAACACTGGAGTCTGCAGAAGGTGAGGAAAGTAGGTTTTTATTTTATTACTTGTAGAAATGTCAAGACATAGCCTCCAAAAGTG